ACAAATCTATAACAAGCTACATGTGCTATCAATAAGTGGTTTTTAGCCTACATACAAAATTTCAGATGGAAATAACGACTTTTAAAAAACGGTATGGGTCACCCTCAAGGATCACCCTGGTTGCAATTTGCTCTCTTTTAACTTCATATCCTTCCATGAGAAGCCATTAAGTATCACCCTGCCGGATTTCATGTTTTTAAAGCAATTTCTAAAAATCGGTATGGATCACCCCATAGGGTCGCTCCAGATAAGAATTTTACCAATTTCATTTCATATCCTTCCAATAAGACCCATTAGCAACCTCTCTACCAAAATTCAGCTTGCAACGACGATTTTGAAATTTTGGTGCGTAATACCCCACTCACTCCGATGACCCCCACCGGTCAACCTCTTGACCGATTTCGCCCATCTTCGAACTCGTTTCCTAACTTTGTCCAATACGCATATGGTAAAAATTTCGAGTCAATTGGTTCAGCCGTTTGGGCTCTATCGTGCCGGACAGACAGACAGACGGATGGACAGACGGACGGACATGACGGTTCCATAAGCCCTGACTCAGGCTAAAAATTAATTGTTTAAATATTAATTTTCTCCTACATGATGAAAAACTCGGAATTTGGATATTGTTAATTACCGACTTAATAATTTCATTTTTTGTGCTGAGGTAAAGATTAATTTTATTGGGAAAAATCAAGCAGTTTATTACAACTCATGTTTTATGAGATAAATTAATCAAATATGAGTGCAAATTTTAGTTAAATTAAAAATTTAAAGAAATAATTGTATTCTAGCTGTTTCACATTGGTTACTCGTCTTCTGCTTGTAACACAAATTATTAATTCCATATATTTAGTCTTGCTTTAATTTTCACAAACATTTCCGAACATTTCTAGGAGTTAAACAAGACTTAAGGCTCATCTACTAAGCAACTGATTTATTTTAATGCTAACTCATTTTGTTTTTGGCGATTCTACTAGGGAGGATAGATCTAAACTATTAAGAGTTGGTAATTCAGATGCTACCACTATTTAAATACGATTTAAAGAGTATTTAAATAACTGGTACTTAAATACTTATGATATATTCATGTATTTAAGTAATTGGGTATTTAAATACCTTGTCAAAATTCGAGTATTTAAGTATTTAGTATTTAAATATTTAAAACAAATTAAGTTATTAAAGTATTTAATACGTAAATACCACTTAAATATTCAGGTATTTAGAAATGAAGTATTTAAATACTTTTGAGGTATTTAAGACAACTCTGCATTTACACAGATACACGAATGTACATATCTGCAATTCAATGCTAATGACGAGCAGACCGAAGTTTTTAAATCCTCCGGTTTGTGACCTGTGTATTGAGTGTGGGTGGCAAAATTTCAAAATTCTGGGAATATATATTTTGCACGAATGATTTCGAAACGTATAACATTTTGAAAATCCATCAAGAGTTGGCTGCAATTAATTTTGAAACTTTACGAGTTGTTAGTTACTGAGTGGTCCGCCATTTAGCCCATCAGTATTATTAATATTGGCCAATGGTCCATTTTTTCTGGATGGACCATAAGACATAACGCAATGAAAAGTTTTGATATAAAAAATATTAAATAGAAATCGAAGATGCTATAATTCGGAGGACAACGCCGCTGGTTGTACGTCGCCGGACGCCGATAACATTTACGCACCCCCGCCGCTGACAAATCTGATTTCATATTCCGGCAACATTGGGAAATAGCATCACAAATTGACACCGCTCCCGCCACAAAATTGGTCTGAGTTGACCTCTGCTGAAATTGTTCCCTCAAAAACTCTTTTGACCCTTGACCTAGGCGCTGGTCGCTGTGACCTTTTTTTTGAAGTAAGAAGACAAATATACCTAAATATATGAAATTGTCGCTGTATATTTATTGTTTACGCAAGTGAGTATTATGCAAGTATGTATCTATGTGTATTACATAGATACATACATATGTATATACATTGCAAGCAAACATTATGTCCTTTGCAACGGATAATTTTCTGTGACGGAAGTGAAAGCGGAGATTGTAGAAATTTCATTTATAACCACTCCCCTATTATAATCCGCTTCTGACAACCATCCCAAATTACCCGTTTGATAACCACCCTCAGATAACCATCCAAGGTAACCACTATTAAACAACCACCCCTAAATAACCATCCCAGATAACCACCCCAGTCATACATATACTGATATGTATGCACAGTCAGGTGCAAATCTTTACAGCCACCCTTACTTTCGTCATCAACTTTGATCGGGTCATCATAAAATTACCAAATTAGGCTATTAAACGTAGAACACTAACCTTTATGACCAGCATAAGCCATGAAATCGAAATACGCCGCCCACTAATTTTTTCTACTAAATGTGAAAAATAATTGGTGCAAAACTTTACGGCCGCCTGCAAAATGTAGCTATCAAATACGTTTGTTCAGCGTATGACCAGTTGCAACACGTATGCTTGATATTAAGAACCTCGGAACACTTCGGTTCTTCGAAATATATCCCCAGATTCTAATCAGTATGAAGTCAGCACACTTTTTCCACACTTTCACCATACCCCAAAATATTTCGTGTTTCAAGTGGTTCCCAGTGTCGGGTTGCCTTATATTTTCTTTAGATTTTCTTAGCGAAGCCCCGTTAAGGTTTTTGATTGATTAGAGGTCAGTCGACGTTCTGGGTAAGCCCGGTACTTGCATATTCCTCATCAGCTGCAATCACTACTCTGATTGCTATAAGTCGAATTTTTAACTATTTTCAGGCACTCCAACCACCATAAGTACAAACGTTACACCAAACTTGACAAATTTCGGGGATATTGAAGGATGTTGATTGAAACTAATAATTGATCTTTGCGATAAAATTTGAATTGTAGTAAAATTTCAAATCATGACCTAATTACCTATCGGTTATTGATCAATTGAAACTCAAAAGTCGCAAAGAACCAGAAAATAAACGCTGGAGGTGTGCTTTTCAAATTTGAATTACGCGGTGGAGATCCCCTCATTTAGCTGAGAAGAATGATGTGTCACATGCTAGGGTTACGTTAAGATCGAAAAGTCGCAGATGACCACACCCACTGGGGGGTGTGGTTTCGAAATTTGTATTGTGTGGTTCAGATCCCCTCACTCAGCTGAGATATCACATGGTTCCATTAAAATAGAATAGTCGCTGATGACCCCACCCCCTTTAAATGAGTTTTAAACTCATTTAAAGTTGAGCCTAAAATTAAAATAGTCAAAATTTTTGTATTTATTGGAAACTTGTACCATTCTAACCCAAATTTATCTGGGAGTCCAAAAATGCTTATAGATTAAATTTTGCACAAGTTAGTAATTATTTATAGCGCATCTAAGGCCAACTCATCTCAACTCATTTAAAACTCACCGGCAACACTACGTTGAATGGTCACGACTTATTTTATTAGGAGTTTGAAATTTCCATGAAATTTCCAAAATCAAAGTATTTAAGCATTTCTCTTCTCAAATTCAAAATCGGGGAGGATCTTGAATATTCCATTTTGTGCAATTACAAAACCTTTTTTTCTCCACAAGCAGACCTCATTTATTAATTTTGGACAAAACCTGACCACATGAAAAATACAAAGTATTCTGGATTTGAAATTAAATATTACACGCTTTAGAATATTGAGACTAGTCAAAATATTTATTTCATATACATAAAATTTCTCTTGTTAATATTCCTATCAGATGAAGGTATGTACATACGTATGTGCATATATGTATGTGTATACCTATCAGCAAAAGGAGATACTGCGTATGTACATACATATATATGCAACAAGACAGGTATTGTTATTGTGCATTGCTTGGTCCTTGGCCCAGGTGAGAGAGGGATACATATGTAACAAAGACAACTATGATATCTGGATATATGTAAGTGAAGGAAACATCCGACCATTAAATCACATTGGTGGTAAATACGTGACTTACAAGGGACAGTCCCGAAGTGCCCGTCGTGTCCAGGGCACCCGTTACGTTTTTAGAATCTATTAGGATCCTAGATGAAGGATCCTTCCAGACCTGCTTGCAAAACTCATATTTGGCGCAACATTCGCCAAATTTGAATGTTTTAAATTTTAACATCGCCACATCTTTTGATTATCTGCACGGATATCCAGAAATTTTGGATAAAATCATGACAAGAGTTCAACTTCCGAATGAAGTCCAATTCTTCAAAAAATACTTGAACAAGAATAATGGCACCAGATTTTGGAAATTATGAGAGGATGACTATAGGACTTCTTTGTTTCAAAAAGCCACGTAGCGGTTCTTAACTGAATTTCAGTTTGGACAATCACATTTTGATAAAAAAATATCCAAGCCCCGTATCGATAGGACTTTTAGTTGGCCCACAATGAAGGGATATATTTAAAAGATGTAATAGATCCTTCATATGTACCTTTGACATGTGCATTTTTTAGCACGCATTTTTTGCATTGTTAGGACCTACTTCACTCGCTCATATTAAATGTTAACCAAATTTAAATGCAAATGTTTCAGGGGGTAGATAGCAGAAAAAGTCCTCTGTTTCAATTTTTGGGCATATTTTCAAATCTTCCTAATCGTGGGGATTCGTCAAAAAAATTTCTAAATATTAAAAAACTTGAATTTAACACTGTTTTGAAATGCCTTGATAATGTTTTATTCTTAAAAGTTTGACAGGGGTTTTGGATTTTAAATTTGGCGTCGCGCCACAGCCAGGAATATGAGTTTTGCACGAAAATATTAATGGATCCTTCATCTGGGATCTTAGTAGGTTTTAAAAAGCATTGTGGGTACGGTGGACACGACGGGCACGTCGGAAGTATCCCTTGTCAGTTGGAGAAGAGAGAGGATACATATGTGTATGCAATCATAGATATTTTAAATAATGTCCTTATCATCGGCTCCCCTCATACTTACAATCATAATCTCCACTTTTTCTGGATTCATTCCATCCACCATTCCATGTAAGTACTCACTTAAACCGTACAACTTATTTAAGAGAGAAGCCAAATTTTTGACATTGTTAAAGTTGTAACTAAATAACTAATTATTCCTGAAATGATGGGTAATTTAAATTTGTTGGTGGTAGTGTTATCAGTTGTGGGTATTGGGATGGGAATACTGTTTACCCCGTTAAATAATTCTGAGGAACAAAGAACTTTTGAGGGGTGGAATTTGGACAATTCCATCGCCAGTATTTTGGTGTATCTTTTCCAAGAGCACGTTAAACCTCGTACGGTGATTTACAAATTCTGCGAAGTTTCTGGCAATTCGTCAGCCGGGTGGTGTAAGCAAATTATTGTTTGTATTTCAAAATTATTATGTTCCATTCAGCCTCCAGGCAAGCGTCGTAATTTTGTAATTGGATATTTTCATACTCAGTTTTGCACAAAAATACATTAAAGTTAAATAACCGCCCGCAAAATATGTCGTTAGGCTGCTGTAAAATGGAAGAACTTTTTAAGGTTATAAAATTATTAAATTGTAATTTGCTCCAGGCAATTTAAAGGCAGCGCTGGACCAAGACGGAAATGGGCGGATCGTTCCTGTATGTAGAAAACATGAATTAAACGGTCTGGATGTTACATTTCTAACTAAAAAGTTAGCAGCAGTCGTTTCCTCTCTTGATTCAATAAATGCAATTGAAGTCACCCTACTTAGTAAGTCATACATACATACATCGCTATTAATTTTATTCCTAAAATTTCCTCCTTATAATTTTATTATACTATTGGTTTCTCGTTGTATATGTAGATTCCAACGAGTCCAATACCTTTATTGACACGTTGCGTGTTGCGGCGTATGACGGCTTTAGAGCAGTCCACCGACAAAGTAAGGCTTTCCGACCGGAGGACATCTTTGCCAAGGCAGGAATAACAATTTCCTCTAGTTCCGGTAATTCTGACCTGGATGAAGTTGCAGTTGAAATCAAAGGGAAAGGAATGTCATCAACACCGAGTATCGTAATAGGTACAGTTGGTTCAACAGGTATGTACACGTGCAGAAAATTACATAAGTTCATACATAACACAAATTGGGTGCAAATTATGTTTTGTGAATATGTCATCATGAATTTGTGGGCTTTACAGGCTTACGTCAGCCCACCATGTTGTCACTGAATGGTTTCGTGTTACGTGGTGGCGTCGAGTTGAATGACCACGTGTATATCTTTAGTTGCGCAACCTCACCCTGTATCATGAACGGAGTTATGTGTAAGAAATTAATTGTCAGCATTTAATTACTCTGACTGCTATGAAATAGATAATGGGGTGTTAACGACAGGATATATTTTTTTCTTCAGCAATTTTGATCCATGCAGATGTCAACGTATTGGAGTCAAAGCTATCCGAGGCGAATGGGAGTAATCAAACCATGATTGTTATTAGGGGCCTGGGCGAAAACAAGGGCATACTGGGGAAAGAGCAGTTCTCGTCTTTGAATGGGATTACCATCTTGACAGCACTTAACTTTCAGTCTTTGCCGTTTTAGTGGCACTAAATTTCGCGTTTCAGTTTTCTTTTTTGAATTGGTATTAAGAATCTTAATTTAAGATTATTATAAATTTCGAAAAATTATTTGGAATGAATCAATAGTACGTATCACTCAGTAGCTTTATATATATTCGATTGGCATTTATTGAATAATTACGGATTTAAGGTGAGAAATTTGTTGAGCTGTGTACATACTTAATTATTTGTCGGTGTGAAATTAAGTTGATAGACCTAATCTAGGCATTGCATTATAAATTGTCAATCCTCGTGAATATTTAGATTTGTCGAAGACATGCCAGATTAATTCAGAAAAGCCTGTCAATAATATACATACGATTATTAATATATAATAAAGTTAACTTAATCGTGGGTTTACAATTGCAAAAATTTTTGAAATGTTTCATTATTTCCATTTTATTTGAATTATTGCATGTTATTGTCGTTGGTGAAAAGAACGTATCTCCAGGTATAAATTTAATTAGATAATTACGTACAAATTCTTAGTGGAGTTTAATTCAAAAATCTACAAAAACTCACAAAAACCCCAAAAACCCCGGAAAAACTCCCCGGGTTTGGGTTTGCTAGAAAACCCCCCGGGGTTTTCCGAACCCTGATCCTGGAAGCGATCAAATATGTTTCCGATTGTATGATTGTTCCATGTGTGCTGCAACTTAATTAATCCCTTCATGTTTAAACGATCCAAAATTGTTGATAGAAACTGCATAAAAGAAGCATGGAAAAGTTGCAAATAATTTGCTGAAAATCACCAGAGAAATATGTGCAGAAATGCTAAGCAAAATGACGCAATAATTTAGCATAATCTCTGCGTAAAATCTCCCGCAATTAGTGCGTTACACTGATAATAAATTTTGCGCAACCGTTACGAACAAATTTATACAATTTTGGACGCCATCGATTGCAACTGATTTGCAAGATCACTTTTGCGAAAATTTAATGATATTACTTGACCAGGTTAAGTCCATAAATCGCAAATCCAGCAATTTCTACCTATTTACATGTAAATAAATATGTCCATGCGTTAGGGAAAAACCGGTGTGCAACTTATCTAAATAGATCACAGCAAAAAGATATGAACATTTGTGTGCACATAAATGTGTAGGGTTGTTGCAGAGATGTTGAATAAGGATATGCTACGAATGAAAGTGGCAGTTTTCCCCGCTCTCTTAATTATTTTAGGCGCCATTTTAAATTTTGACACCTATTACGTCTCATTCGGAATTTAATCAGCTTTCTGAATCCGAAAACCAAAATCCATTATCTCTATTCGTTCTAAAATGAGAGCAAAAAATTCCGACTAAGTCGAAGAACGTGTTTGCCAAAAGTACGAAAAAGTTCTTTTCAGGGATCGAAAAAACACTCACAATTTTTTTCCCAATGGAGGAATACATCGGAACAAAATTAGCCGAGTACTGGACAGATACGAGGAACGCGGAAATGCACATTTCAAAAAATCAGTTATCCAACCTTCCCACCTCAGATCGGAGAAAGTAGTGAAGAGAGTGGAGAAAGCTTTTCTCATGAACTCCAACACTTTGGATGGTGCTGTTTCAGCTACGGTGGGCTTATCAAGATCGTATGTACAGAAAATTAAAGTGGAGAAGTTGGGTTTCAAGACGTGCAAAGCACAAACCGCCCCAAGATACAACGAAAGTCAAAACCATCTAGCTAAAACCAACTTCGAAAAATTTATGAAAAAATGCTGAAGCAAAAGACCCCGAATTAATCGAAAGAGCGTATCATAAAGAGGTTGACCCCCTTCATCAAAAACAAGCATGTTTTGTTTTGGCCGGACATGGCGACATCCCACTTTGACAAGATTGTGACCGACTTCTTTCGAAGCAAAAAAATCGATTTTGCTGAAAAATAACACGACGCTCCAAAAGTCCCTAAATCTCGTCCAATTGGACGGTTTTGGGCACTAATCAAGAAGGAATATCCAATAGACAAAGCCCACCCAAAAACTTGCGAGTATGTATACAGGCCATGACGGCAATGATAAAACTCGTTGGGGAAAACAGTGGCAAAGCTTTGATGGCGACCGTTCGCAAAAAGCTTGGCTCAATCGGAAGGAATGGAGTGTTTGGACCATTGGTGGACAATTATAAGTAGCTACAATACCCATCTATAATTTATATAAGTTTCACTAAATTTCCTGTTACCATTCATTTTTTACAGACAATAGACCAACTGCCACTTTCATTCGTAGCATATCCTTATTACGCCAATTTTGTCCCTGAAAAAGTCACATAGTCATATTCTCTGGACCCCCCTGTGTCCCAAATTGAGGAAACGTTCCAAAAACATTTTAAATCGGTTATCGCCACCTCTGCAATCCTGCTCCAATGCTTATTGTCCTCTATAATTTGTACACAAATTCCCCCGGGCTTTAAAAAATATTTTCTATTTTTTGACTGAACGTTTTAAGACGTTGGACTCATCTACGTGACTACAATAGTTTAGATATACACTATTGGCAGTTATTATTTACTCAAACTTTCGGGTCGTATTCAAATTCATATATTTCAAAAAAGGTCACAACATCAAAACAGTATTTTTACATATTAGTCCCCATATTCTAAGCTACATAACTGCAAATTTTCAAAGAAATCTAAACAAAGGTACGCCTACAAAAAATATTTTACGATATCATAGAGGACTTCGGGCGGGAAATAATTATTTGCTCACTGCTTTTGATTAAACGGTTTTCTCCATTTCACCATCTAAGATCATATTGTTTATTAATTGCTGTTGCAAACAAGTAAATACCGTGCTGCTGACCACATATCAACAAACACTTGACCCTAAACTCATCGGCTATGGCGAAGAAACGTGAGATCTGTGTTGGTGATCGAAACAAAATAATCGCTTATCATGACGCAGGGTTAACTTGTTGAAAAATTGGAGAAAAAATGAAAATTCCATATTCGTCAGTTAGCTACATTATCCGCAAATGGAAAACTCACGGAACCGTTCAAAATTACCCAGGACGAGGCCGAAAGAAAAAAACAACAACAAGGCAAGACGCCGCAATATTAAGGAAGGTCAAGATAAACCCCCGACTGTCCTCTTCAAAAATAGCAGCAGAGATCGGACATGAACATGGAATAGTAGTCAGTGCTAGGTCCGAAACAGACTTAATTCGGTGGGATTATCTGCTAAAATCGCAAAGAAAAAGCCGTGGATATCCCCGAAGAACCAGCGGAAACGGTTAGCATGGGCGAAGGACAAAGTTGGTTCGACTTGATATGTATGATCGTGCGGTTTGTCAGACCCCAGGAATGTGGCTCCCTTTCAGTACCCGCGGAAACCATGGTGACAATAGTCTTCTACGCTAGGGGAGGGGTTTCTAATGGAAACGTATTATAACATTGGCAGATGTCGAGGACATCGAATAATCGTGGGCCCATTGCCGGCACTTTTCCGCAACCATTGTTCTCTTAGATATACATACATTACTTACTATGTAAATAGGGTAGTTCGCCTCCTGAGACTGAAATAAAAACGTGGATATCTGGAAATATGGCAGACCAAGTTTCCCAAAAGTGTATGATAATAAACTAATGACCTAAGACTACAATCACTCCCATCCATAGTTTGCTCGGCTTCGCGTGTAGCCACCACCTCCGCCTTGTCCCGGAAAACTCCATTCGGTGTTTTTGATTCATTAGGATGTTAGCTTTTTAAATGTGTCCAGATTTTTTTAATGGGGGATAATTTGGGGCATTTTCCTCCACGAAAAAAACATTGCTGATTTTCCATTTTTTTTAGCAAATTTTACCTATTTTCGCGTATTGGCAGCGAGTTACGTCCAGCCAACAAATTATTTTCTGTAGAAGATGATGACCAATGACTACGGATTCTAAAATTCATTTGACGTAGTTGTTTAGATAGGTCTTATTTTGGTCACTGGGGCCATGCATGGTGAAGAGTGTATGTAGGGCCATTTCTTTGACAAATTTGACAAATAAATTTGAAGTCATATCACGCCTCCGGCCCTTTTACTGAATAGGAGGTCGGCCACTTGAAAGTTCGGCTAAATTCTATTCTGGTAATCCATATGAGTCTAGTTTTGAGCATATTTCTTGAAAAATGTTATGTAAAGGGTCCACTTTTAATTCGACCTAAAAAAACTGCAAGAATTATTTACAATAATACATTATGATTTTTCAAGTCAACATAAGTTATTGTTTTTAAATCCGCATGCGGAGCCACACGCTTTTTCGATCAGTTTCATCCGCTCTGCGCTCATCCTAGGATTGATTACTAACGGCAATAAATATTAGTGCAGTCATTAACAAAATAGCATATATAGATACATCGGTTCAGTGATACAAATGAATTATGTACGTCAATGAGGACTACAATCCAAACTAGTTGGCGGTTCTTTTTATTGATAATCAGATTATTGCCTTTACACATTTATTTGAACTACTTTATTACGGCATCAAATCACTAAAAGCCGAAATATTCAACCGCTAATAAACTTATGTACATATTTTATGACGTACTTAATTGCTCATAAGGTGATAAAATAAAATAATGCATATCTATCTCTAAATTTCTTTATTAAGCAAGCCTCATTGTCCTTGATCAGTTCAGATCAACTTTCCCGTTCTCCTCGACTGGACAGGAGGTTATTAGGGGAGCTACGTTGCTTTAAGAGCAAAATCAATTTTTCCTTCGTTAAAGGTGGGTGCGTTACTTAGAATCGAATATCTGCATTCCATTCTTACCATGACAATTATTGACAAGTATCGATCCGACCACATGGTCGGCTAAAAATAGTTTAAAGTTTAATTTTTTTGTTTAAACTTTAATACCTACTTTAAGTTTTAAAATTCTGAACAGTCATTGCATTAATTTGATTTATCCTTAACATTTGATCCAAACAGCGAAACAAACACCGGTCAATATGTTTGCAACCCTAATAAAACTACTTGTGGTCCTCTTCGTCGTCCATCAAGCCATCGATGCACAACAATTCTCTCCGCAATTCCAACGAATTGCGGCTAAATGCAGCCGCTTATCTCCAACCGCTCATTCCCAACCGCTCATTTGCTCCCGCTCATATTCACTCCTGTACATTTATCATCTAAACGCACTTGCACCCGTTCGTCTGCACTAGCTTATTTATGCTCCTGATTGTTTCCCAAGCCCTAGAGACCACATTCGTGGGTCAAAAATTTGTCACCACTTTTATGTACTTGCATAGTGAGAAGGTAGGGGCCTAAGGAGCGAACGCTGAACTATTCACTTTTTGGTTGTTAGCAAGCGGTTTCAATTTTTTCAGAAGATCTTATCACTAAACCGCTGCAAAGTTCGAAGTATGTAGCCCGCCTTCAATGTATGATCTTGCATCACCTGGATCAATTTTTTTCGAGTACTCTGTAAAAATCAAAGCCCTAGGGTAGTTTATCAACTCCCCCAACCTAGCGTATTGCCGTACGCCCGAAAACACATTTTTGGGATAGCATTTAAACACTTAAAAAAATGTGGTTTTAAATTTTAAACTTTATTAACTAGTTCATATTTAACTTTAATTTGACATTAAATTTTTACCTAGGTACACATGCACAAATATGTACAATATGTGCCAACTTTCTTGACTTCTCGGTATTACAGGATTTCGGTTTAAAACCAGTTTTGTGCAGTATCTAAAACCCGTTTAAAAGAAAATTTCCAAATCCGAGGTCAATTTTACCCAAAATTTCCTAAATCAGAGTCATCGATATCCAGTTTTTTAAATCTTCTGATTTTATATGGATGCCCTAATAAAAATAGTAGAAGAAAAGTAGTAGAATAAAATGATCACCCTTTGTAAACTCCGTTTCAATTTACTTGAGTTCATAGCCGAATGAGCCGAATTATTTTATTATTTTACACCACTCATTTTCATAGGTCGGAGTACTCCGGGCTTGGAGTACGTACTCGCGTACTCCGGAGGGCGGAGTACGCGACTTTTTCTGGGGTACGGAGTACGCGAAGTACGGAGTACGGAAAATATTTGATCTATGCTCATTTTTATTTTGGCGTGAATATCATACGAAATTGAATAATTTAAACGCCAAAATAAAAATAACTGGTGTAAAATAATAAAATAATTCGGCTAATGTACTCCATGCTATGAACTCACGAGATGTGAAACGGAGTTTAAGTGCAACTTACTTATAAAGTGGTGCAAGTAAATTTGGGTGGAAAATGGGCCTTGATGCAAGCCAGCGGGTGCCAATGAGCCGGTGAATCTGACCGCATACCTCAATAGTCATCAGAAAAAAGGCCTACATACATCAGAGGATGAACCTCCACCCCCTAAGAACATTTATGTGGGCCTTGAGTCTAGCCTTCTGAAGAGCAATAAGGAACCACACAAGAATTTTATCACAGATCTTGAGTATCAAAAAGAACTTATTGGAATTGGGGGTACTTATGGAGACTTACAAATTGTCTCGTCAAAGAAGCATATTGTCGAATCTGATCATTTCCCACCAGAATCCGTTTACAAATTTGCAAAAGATTCCTGGATAAGAAATATAAATCGTGCAGATATGGCAGCTCTGTCAATACCATATAGGTTACACAAAGACTTTACAACAACTGGTGCTGTCGTAGGAAATCAAGGTTATCGTGGGGAGTTTGTTACCGAACTCTCTAAGCTAATGAGAGAAGGAAAATACGACGAAGTGGTTCGGCTATCAATTTTGGAATACAACAAGAGTTTAGGTGACAAAACACATCGTGGAAATAACGAAGAACTGTTTGATTATTATAAACCTGGAATCCTAGCTGGTCTCAAGGTTCAAGTGAAGAATGGATTGCTATCTGAGGAAAAATTGACAGAATTTTCGGATGAGCTCGAACTGACCAAAATTACAGTACATACAGTCAGGAGTATGTCTTTAAGGCCACCTATTTTGTCGTCGCCATTTCCTCTAGGGTTATCGACAAACCACCAAATGTGCCTAAAACGTATATATTAATATACAAATCAGTTGAGATAAGCCATGGGGCGGAAATCCACTTCCTATTACTTTTATACCAAAAAGTCAAAAATACAGGCGGAGAAAAACTTTAAGACCACCTAAAATATTTTATTAATACAAATAGATACATTGATTTTAGAATTTCTACAATGGCGTATTTGACGTAAAATGCTCCGTAGGGCTTCCAAATTATGAAATTAATTCGGAAATAAAACTTGGTGTGGAGTCAACGACATTTGGAAGGGTTCCTTCTCCCCTTTCCCCTTAAAATGGTTAAGTTTAAAAGGTTGATCGTTAGACCTTGTTTCTCAAGGTTATAATCGTAACTGCCCAACATGTTCTGAGTGTTTGCCAACTGATACCGATGAAATTTCTGCCTGGAGAAGCACAGCAGACTGATTTTCCTCAGATTTATCATTTATTTTTCCGGTTTGAGGAGGGATTTTTGGCATTCTCTCGTTCACAAATATAATTCCAAACACTAAGTGCGCTCCAATAGTTTACTACGTGGCAGGGGAACAGTTTTTATACAATGTGCAGACGAGGAGGACATAGGCAAACCGCAATTAACTGCTTCTCCAAATGTAACTGCTAAGTGTGGGCAAAGAAGCACGCTATGAGTACCTCATGAATATTTAATGGTCCCTATTAATCTTAAATAATTTATCTATACTACTCAGAAGTATTTCATACATATTTCGAAGTCTATCACAAGAAACCTTCATTTTTTGTACAAGCAAGTAGCAATTTTCGATTCTTGTATGATTGAGTAATATTTTAATTAATGGTGCGGGGCAATGTGCTATGAAGTCTTGGGATAATACATTCTGAGTTGTTCCCCGACTACTAATTAAATTATTGTACCCCAATTAATGTGTTGAGCTATATTTTTGGAGAAACTAATGCCGACGATCCCCTCCGAAATCGGAAAAATAAATGATCAATCTGAAGAAAATCAGCCTGCTGTGCTTCTCCAGGCAGAAATCTCATGGGTATCAGTTTGAAAAAAACTCAGAACATGTTGGGCAGCTATGATTATAACCATGAGAAATGAGGTCTAACGATCAACCTTTTAAACTTAACTGTTTTGACCACATTTAGGAAAGTGGAGATGGAACCCTTCCAAATGTCGTTGACTCCGCACCAAGTTTTATTTCCGAATTAATTTCATAATTTGGAAGCCCTACGGAGCATTTTACGTCAAATACGCCATTGTAGAAATTCTAAAATCAATGTATCTATTTGTATTAATAAAATATTTTAGGTGGCCTTAAAGTTTTTCTCCACCTGTATTTTTGACTTTTTGGTATAAAAGTAATAGGAAGTGGATTTCCGCCCCATGGCTTATCTCAAGTGATTTATATATTAATATATACGTTTTAGGCACATTTGGTGGTTTGTCGATAACCCTAGTGGAAATGGCGGCGAAAAAATAGGTGGCCTTAAAGATATGCTCCTGACCGTATATAGCCTATGTCTAGCGACGATGACAAAATTTGAACGTTGACGGGCATCCAAAATCTGAAGAATTTGTACATAAACGCCAATAGTATCTGCCGATAATCTCCACTTTGGCGATTTTTATGATCTCCAACAGGCAGGGTATCTAACTCCGGGATTTTGTGGTAGCAAACATGAGCAATACCCACGGGTAGTCGGGCTTATCAGATTTAATAAAACATGGTATTATTAACAATTCTACAAATTAAGTAATATGCAGCTTTGCTGTAAAATTAAGGAAACCACAAATTGCATTCATCACTGAATGCATGAGACACTGACCCTGTTTACCCCAAAAACCCCGGCTACCCCGACCACCCGCAAAACCCAGGTAAAACCCCTGGGCATAAGTTGTAAACAGCGAAACCCCGAGGTTTTTCCTACCTTGCCAACAGGTTAAAGGTCAGAAGTATTTTTCCGAAAAAATTTGAGGCGTCTAAAAACACTTTGTGGATAATTTATTGCAAATTTTGCAGTGTTTTTTATGTGATGCGCCATGCTTTGAAAATAAAATTGAGCTATCGTACTATCGCATCGCATCGCGATTTTTCTAAGGGCGGTATGATCTTTTCGCCAAGGACAGATTTGAAGTCTAAAATTGCCAGCGCTGCAAAAAATCGAAAACTGAAATATACATTCACATGCCTATAACTCGCTGACAAGCTGGGTGGTAAATGTATATTTCAGTATTCGATTTTTCGAGGAGGTGGCGATTTTGGACAGGAAACCTGTCCTTTTTGAAAAATCGTCAGAACAATCGTACACAATTAGACGTATTTATATACATGTGTACATAAGATCATTCTTCTTCTTGTGGCATGCCGTATCCAATCAAAAATATTACATAGTTGAACAATTATGCACGCAGTTTTTTTCAACGCCCGAAACATGATTTTTCAGAACAATAATTCTGACCTTTGACCTATAAGGGATATTACAAATCGATAAACCCCTTTACATTTGTATAAGAGTTTGAAATTCTATAACTTGTGGATTCATGTCGAAATAGAAATTTTGGCATCGTCGCTAGACATGTGCTACATATTGTATACCCCTAGCACCCGGTTGAAGATACGGCCCTGAGGAAAAAAGCTATTAAAGCAGTAAACGAAACTGTTCATACAATGCCCAAAATTAATAAGAATTGCACAAATAAGAAAAGGAGCAAATCAATCGGTAAAAGAGATTGGAAAACCCGCTGCGGCAAGCTACCTGGTAGAGCTTCGAAGGCAATGAGAAAGGGAAGAAAAATCCTGTCGAATGTTCTAAATTCATTTCATCCTCGACATTGGCGGTTCGCCCACTAACTATTCCTAAGCCAAGGAACAAACACTTTCATAAATGTTGATGCAATATATTTAGGTGATATCTTATAGCTGTTCCACATCCACAATACTATCTTGAAGTAAAATGCACAACGTTGTCCTACTTTATTCAGTTTTTGTCATTTTAATTTTGTGACTTAATTTCTTTATGAGTACATCAGTAAATATTGATCTCATCTGACATATAAGCATGGAATAATCGTTGAAATGTGCCAAATTTGCATGCTATCTTTACTCCATTTGAAGACTTGGATCATGTGAGCCGCACTTTATTCTATGCAGGTTTCAAATTTGTAGTTCTCCTTCATAAGGCATGGATTTGTGTGGGTAAAGTGCGGTTAATTTACCCATGTCGAAGCCAGACCGGCATTTTAAATTATTATATCTATTTTGATTTTATGTTTTTTTGGACCAGTCAAAACAGTGAATTTACGAATAATACCTATTTACAGTCATGATATGAAATCTACAAATACTTGTTTCAACTGATTCTCAACAAATACGTATCTATATATAAATTCAAATGTCGAATTGAAGAAACTTAATTTATTATATAATTTATTCACCATTATTAATAAATACATACACTCTTCTATATCAACTATGATTTAGACTCACAAACTCTTGTAACCCAAAATTTCTAAGTGTAATACCTTCTCTAAAACTTGATAATAATTAATGTGGAGAAGCTCCTTGATATTTCTATACATACTTCGGCCCTCCAACGTTTTGAGATTTTTAATTCCGAATGCGCTTATTGGAATTTCTGGGTGGGGGAAACCAAAATTTGATCTAGTTATAAATATCCCTACTTAATGGTTATGTAACTATGTTTACATTGAACAAGAAGTTAAAAATAAGTAAATTTCATGCACTTTATTATATTCATGTATCACTACTTGCACTCGTTTAAACCTCTTGTCTTACATCTTTCTCCACTTCGAATCTCCAATTTGGGAAAGATGGTGGTCACCAATACGTAAAAAGTGGACGATTCCATCAACCCCCAACATTTGCAGGTTTCACCGTCATGCCCACATTCACCAGATTGTTTCTTATCGTTGTACCGGAACTTATCATCAGTCGGAAACGGAATATCCAAATGCTTCAGCGTCTCGCACGGCGGATTGGTCTTGGACAAGAAGGAGTCGAGTAGAAAGGGGAAGATCGTCTCAAAATGGAAATGATCTGAATATTCCTTAAATTTTTTATTGCGTATCTTCTCCTTCCCGATAATTAACCTCTCCAAGACCGGAAACTGTTTTGCATATTCCACCCTCACCTCCGTGTTCTTGTCCGCTGTGGCAAACCGGAAATAAAGGTTTGGTTGAAGCCAAACCTGTTCAAAAGACATTGATTAATTCAATTTAAAAATTAAGGAAAATCATGCATTATTCATTCATTCAAAAATTATGAAATAATTCAAAATTTGTATTAACATTCGTTGCGAATTTTAGTCTAAATTCGTCTTATTAGTGTTATTTAGCATGACATAAAAAATGAATAAGAAAAACAATTATTTTTTCATCGTTCGCGGAAGGAATAAATATTTACTCAAAACTCATTCATTCAAAAATTTTGAAAACACTATTCAATCATGATTCATGAATTTAGTGAATAATGAATGAATGAATAATTTAATTATTATACACTGAAGAAATGAGTATGAACTGGTATTACATACCCCATCCCGAAGGAAGTCCTGACCCCTCCTAATCTCAAAAACCTTAAGTTTCGGTAGAATCGGGAATTCAAAAGTGGTCGTAGAAATCGGTCCCGGCTTGCAATTAGTAACCCAGCGGATGCCCAAGTGTTCCAAAGTAGGCGCCAGTCGGGTCAGAAGTTCGGGGCAGCTCGGTTCCGCGAATAAGGTAAGATTGACCTCAAGTCGGGTCAAGGTCACCGGAAGGTTCAAGGGAAGTTTCGGGGTCGAGAAATTAATCGATGCCCCATCCGTCCTTCGAAGGCTGAGTTTAGACAATTTGGCGGGAACTTGATACATATCAAAACTTATGGCGTTCTCCAACTTGAGAACTTCCAGTTTCGGAAATATTTTGATCAATGGGGGCATCATTACTTGAAAAATTTCCATTTGCAAAAGAGCCGCTCTTCTTCTGGGGTGAAAATCCCCCACGGTTGGGTGCGGTCTTACCGAGAATTTAGTCACGTGAGGAAAATCGCGGGAAAAGGTGGTCACCAGTTTGGCGAAATTTACCAAATAGGCTGGGCTCATGCTGTGCCAAAATGTGGGGCGTAATTCGAGCGATTTCAAATTTTTTAGGGTCTTGCACACTTCAAAAATTTCTCTCGGAATGGGGGACGAGTACTCTATCAGGACGAGATCAATTTTAAGGGAGGTCACTTTTTTTGAATTTAAGGCCAAAAATGGGGTCAATTCTTGCATAAAATCGCCCATTTCGGCTGTCGTGTCGAGCAGGAGGGACACATTGAGTTTTTTGTGAAAATAGTGATGGCCCCGAACCGACATTGTTTTTAGGTAGGATGAGAAATTTGATTTCGTTAGGATGACGGTGGTTCGAGATAGGAGAATGGAACGAGCTTCCGTTTCCCATGTGGAGTTGACCCGTGTGCAGGAGACGAGGTCAGATGTGGGCAGAAAGGTCAGCACGGAACGGATAATCTGTCCGTGAAGGGAAATAGGGTTTACGTTCTAATTTATTAAATGGGCGATAACGTAATATTTAGCATCATGACTGATTTAGGAAATTTCCAAAGTTAAACAAATTATGTTGTGATGAGATTGTAAATATATGACTTTTTCAATCTCCCTAATGTTTGCGAAGGTTAATAAGTTCATGCAAAATTAATTTAATATGTAAATAGATTCACTTAAGTATTTACCTCAGGTAAGTTAACTGCAAGATTGAAATTGATGGGGCCCTCCATTTAAGGAAAATAATCTAGTTAAAACAACGAGATCAAATTAAAATCATGAAAAATGCTGAGGGCTTAATGGTCACCTAAATTTGGCAATTTGTTTGAAAAAATTATCTGATGTGTATTAAAGAAAAATAAATCTTACCCTTTTACAAATAAATACTTGATGATATCTTGTCAAATCAAAATACTGCAACGAGCTGAGGAGTCTGTCATTTGGTGAAGTGACACAAAAGTGAGAAGGATCAAAAGCTTGAGTAAAGTGGCTGGTTGAACATGTAACCCTTTCCTATTTTTAGTTTTCCATAATTCCAGGAAGGTAGTTACATAAATAAATACACCCCAAGTGTTCAATGCACCATTGCGTGAAAGCATTTTTCGTAGTATCAATACTTTTTTTTATAAAATAAGTATTGACTCATTACTCTATAGAGTAATGAGTTTGCAATATTGGTGATTTTTCACATGCATTTTTTTCATGAGATTAAAACTTTATGAAAATTGACGTTTTTTTTTGAGATCCAAGATCTACAGATAAATATGACACTGTCATGTTTTTCCGGTCGGGCTGGCTTTCTCATTGTGTCAATGAACGTAGGATTAGGTGACTCATCACCTGTGACGACGCAGGTCTAAAAATCTGCACATTTTTACTCATTTCTCGGTCCTGGGAATTTAATTTTAAATTACGTCCGATCCACTTGTAGACCAGATCGGTACCAATTTATTAAAAATCTGCAGATTAGATTCTGACAAGTTTTGAAGAAGGAGACCCAATAAGAGTAAAGGCCTCCACTCTTATGGGGTCCACTCCACATTTACATTCGCCTGCACCTGCATATTCCTTACGGAGCCAAGCATTCCATCAACCTCACTATTCCAACCAGAGCCTTCACACACATTAAAACGTTCGAACTGCTTCGAAATCCCGACTTATCACGACCCCAGATCCATCACCCATCTCGACATGAGTTCCGGCTCCAACAAACTTACCAACAAGCAGGGTATGCTACCCCGGGCTTTTGGGGTATTGGGGTATTGGTGGGTTTTGGGTAGTAAATTTTAGCAATACCCACGGGTAGTCGGGGTAGTCGGCAGTGGGTATCCTAGGATTGGTACGGCCTGTGGAATTTCTAAAAGTACGGCCGGTGTGTTGAAATTTTTATTTCGACATGATCCACTAATTTTTGAAGTTTAAAACTTTGTACACAAATTTAAATACATGTATGTATTATGGGCCGACAATTGAAGATTTTTATTGTCACGGACAGGTCACAACTTACAATGAGGAGGTGTGTGGTGGTTATAGCCGATTTTGACAGGACTAATTGTAAATTATTCACGCTCAGAAATAAGCGGACGCGTATTTTTCGTTTTCCAAAATGAGCATTGTTTCGTCGGGTTAGGAGTTAAAAAAACATATCAAAATTAATAATTTTTCACAAAGCTGTCACTTTTCAAATTTTAACCCGATTTCATAAACTCACCATAATCTTTGCTCAGAATTGCTTCCCTGAAATTATTTTTAAAAAGATCATTTTTTAAAAACTTAATTTTCAAAAAATTATCCCCTTTTGAAAATTCAAAAACGGCATAAAACTATGAAATTTAGCAAAATTTTTAAAATGAATTTTGACAACTTCATGAAAGTAATTCAGAGAAAAAATGTGTTTAACTTTTGAGATTGGGTTAAAATAAGAGAGGTAACAACTTTTAAAAATTTTGATTTGAGCTTAAGTTTTTTTTAATTCCATAAGCGGGAAAAACATGCGCATTCTGGAAAACGTAAAAATACGGGTCCGCTTACTTTTGAGCGTGACAAATTTAAAATTCGTGACAAAATCGGCGACATCCACATTATACCTCCTCATTGTAATAGTTATTTTTCTGAAGAAATTTAAGCCGTCCAACAATTTACTTTAAACTTAATAAGTTTTTTAACTTTCATATTTCCAATTGAAATTCAATTATTGAATGTGAAATGCGTTTAAAAAAATTAGCTATAACATGACGGGACAGCGTACGATAAAAACGAACTTTATTTTGTAAATCACTTTATTTTTTATTTTACAAAGACAGGTTTCAATTGTAGAGTAGCTGCCACCACGGAAAATCCAAACCTGAAATTTAGGCGTATTTGCGTTTAGGCAATTTCGATAGACAAATTTATATTTTTTAAGGACCTACACTAAATAAAAACAAGTAAAATTTACTCAAAGTTGAGTAAGA